GAAGCACAGAAAATGCTTCAATTCAAATGCTTCAATTCAAAACTGCAGCACAGAAAATGCTTCAATTCAAAACTGAAGCACAGAAAATGCTTCAATTCAAAACTGCAGCACAGAAAATGCTTCAATTCAAAACTGAAGCACAGAAAATGCTTCAATTCAAAACTGCAGCACAGAAAATGCTTCAATTCTAAACTGAAGCACAGAAAATGCTTCAATTCAAAACTGAAGCACAGAAAATGCTTCAATTCAAAACTGAAGCACAGAAAATGCTTCAATTCAAAACTGAAGCACAGAAAATGCTTCAATTCAAAACTGAAGCACAGAAAATGCTTCAATTCAAAACTGAAGCACAGAAAATGCTTCAATTCAAAACTGAAGCAAAGAAAATGCTTCAATTCAAAACTGAAGCACAGAAAATGCTTCAATTCAAAACTGAAGCTCAGAAAATGCTTCAGTTCAAAACTGAAGCACAGAAAATGCTTCAATTCAAAACTGAAGCACAGAAAATGCTTCAATTCAAAACTGAAGCACAGAAAATGCTTCAATTCAAAACTGAAGCACAGAAAATGCTTCATTTCAAAATTGAAACACAGAAAATGCTTCAATTCAAAACTGAAGCACAAAAAATGCTTCAATTCAAAACTGAAGCACAGAAAATGCTTCAATTCAAAATTGAAGCACAGAAAATGCTTCAATTCAAAACTGAAGCACAGAAAATGCTTCAATTCAAAAATGAAGCACAGAAAATGCTTCAATTCAAAACTGAAGCACAGAAAATGCTCAATTCAAAACTGAAGCACAGAAAATGCTTCAATTCAAAACTGAAGCACAGAAAATGCTTCAATTCAAAACTGAAGCACAGAAAATGCTTCAATTCAAAACTGAAGCACAGAAAATGCTTCAATTCAAAACTGAAGCACAGAAAATGCTTCAATTCAAAACTGAAGCACAGAAAATGCTTCAATTCAAATGCTTCAATTCAAAACTGCAGCACAGAAAATGCTTCAATTCAAAACTGAAGCACAGAAAATGCTTCAATTCAAAACTGCAGCACAGAAAATGCTTCAATTCAAAACTGAAGCACAGAAAATGCTTCAATTCAAAACTGCAGCACAGAAAATGCTTCAATTCTAAACTGAAGCACAGAAAATGCTTCAATTCAAAACTGAAGCACAAAAAATGCTTCAATTCAAAACTGAAGCACAGAAAATGCTTCAATTCAAAACTGCAGCGCAGAAAATGCTTAAATTCAAAACTGAATCACAGAAAATGCTTCAATTCAAAACTGCAGCACAGAAAATGCTTCAATTCAAAACTGCAGCAAAGAAAATGCTTCAATTCAAAACTGAAGCACAGAAAATGCTTCAATTCAAAACTGAAGCACAGAAAATGCTTCAATTCAAAACTGAAGCACAGAAAATGCTTCAATTCAAAACTGAAGCACAGAAAATGCTTCAATTCAAAACTGAAGTTGTAATAAATTTTTAATGTTTTCAAAAAAACTTAAAAATATTTTTTATTAATTTCTGAAATTGCACAGCGACAAATATCTCTTGTTATAATTATGACTATTATAAAAAGAAGTGATTTTCACTAATAAATATGTAATGATTCCACATATCTGGGATCACAGAAAATGCAGCAATTCAAAACTGAAGCACAGAAAATGCTTCAATTCAAAACTGAAGCACAGAAAATGCTTCAATTCAAAACTGAAGCACAAAAAATGCTTCAATTCAAAACTGAAGCACAGAAAATGCTTCAATTCAAAACTGAAGCACAGAAAATGCTTCAATTCAAAACTGAAGCACAGAAAATGCTTCAATTCAAAACTGAAGCACAGAAAATGCTTCAATTCAAAACTGAAGCACAGAAAATGCTTCAATTCAAAACTGAAGCACAGAAAATGCTTCAATTCAAAACTGAAGCACAGAAAATGCTTCAATTCAAAACTGAAGCACAGAAAATGCTTCAATTCAAAACTGAAGCACAGAAAATGCTTCAATTCAAAACTGAAGCACAGAACATGCTTCAATTCAAAACTGAAGCACAGAAAATGCTTCAATTCTAAACTGAAGCACAGAAAATGCTTCAATTCAAAACTGAAGCACAGAAAATGCTTCAGTTCAAAACTGAAGCACAGAAAATGCTTCAATTCAAAACTGAAGCACAGAAAATGCTTCAATTCAAAACTGAAGCTCAGAAAATGCTTCAATTCAAAACTGAAGCACAGCTAATGCTTCATTTCAAAATTGAAACACAGAAATGCTTCAATTCAAAACTGAAGCACAAAAAATGCTTCAATTCAAAACTGAAGCACAGAAAATGCTTCAGTTCAAAACTGAAGCACAGAAAATGCTTCAATTCAAAACTGAAGCACAGAAAATGCTTCAATTCAAAACTGAAGCACAGAAAATGCTTCAATTCAAAACTGAAGCACAGCTAATGCTTCATTTCAAAATTGAAACACAGAAATGCTTCAATTCAAAACTGAAGCACAAAAAATGCTTCAATTCAAAACTGAAGCACAGAAAATGCTTCAGTTCAAAACTGAAGCACAGAAAATGCTTCAATTCAAAACTGAAGCACAGAAAATGCTTCAGTTCAAAACTGAAGCACAGAAAATGCTTCAATTCAAAACTGAAGCACAGAAAATGCTTCAATACAAAACTGAAGCACAGAAAATGCTTCAATTCAAAACTGAAGCACAGAAAATGCTTCAATTCAAAACTGAAGCACAGAAAATGCTAAAACTGAAGCACAGAAAATTCTTCAATATTAACAAATATATTGAACTGAAGCATGTGCATATTCTAACAAATTATGCATATCTTGGTTCTTATTTCGTCATTTTGTAATAAAATTTTCCAAAAATTGATCAAAATTTTCGAAAATCTAAAATTTTTCGGTGAAAAAGTTTATAAAAACCTGTCTCAAAAAATTTTACAAAAAAATTTAAAAAATTCAAGCGTAATTTTGTTTATAAACCTACATTTTTTATTGCCTATTTTTCCTTATTTTTTTCTCATGCCTTGTTTCTAATTTCTTTTTTGGTTACAAAATAGTCAAAGACAATTTAATGAGCAAGTATAAAATTCATTAATAAAACATCGAAAATATGAGAACGCGTCATTTTTCTGTTTTTGTATTTAAATTTATTTTCAGATCAATGAATATTTTTAATCTTTCAGAGTGAAGAAGCTGTAAATTTCCCAGCCCTAATTATAGAATAATTAAAACGTTTTTTCAAAATGGTCTTTAATTGCATCATAATATTCTTTAATACAGGCAGTCAAATGTTTAAGTTTATTTATTGATTTATTTATTAAATATCCGCTTATTTTTCTTATATTTTTTTATTTCCTATTTTATTTCCTATTATTATATAATATAATATCCATTAAAATTCAAATATTAATAAACAATTTCTTATATAATTATTCAGTTGATAGATTTTAATTTTTATTTAATCTAACTTTTAAAATAAAAACTTGAAGCTTCTCAATAAAATCCTATTTATTTTGTTTGTTGATTATCTAATAAATAAAATATTTAAAATATTTATTTTTCTTTCATTTTACTACATATTCTAAGCTTTCTCTATAAGATTCAAATAACTAATAATTATTAAAATAAATGTTGTCATTTAAGCGAAAAAAAACATTTATTTATGTCTGGAACTTCATTTCTTTTGTATTTTCTTTTAATATCACTTGATATGTTTACAGGAATTTTTGCGATTTTTTGAACCATCCCTAATGTCAAAAATCTTTAGTTATATAAGTGCGCGTATACTTATGAAACACCCTATCTTGAAAAAAATTAAAAATAAAAAGAAATTACTGGTTTTTTAGGTAAATTGTTCATATTTCTTCTTGTTTAGTTAATTTATATATAAAAAATCTAGAAGATATTAATATAAGTATTAATGAAGAAAAATTGAAAAATTCAGGTGCGCGTATAATTTTGAAACACAGTGTATATAATTTAAATGGGGAAAATTTTTATATTTAGTTTTTTTATGGAAAATTAATATAGAAAAATTTTTAAAAAATTTCTAAGACCTTCTCTAGCGATATGATAAAGAATGGCAAAGAAGAATTTTAACCCAACTCCTTCATCGAGATTTCGAGAAACATGTGTTCTTATTTAAATTTCCGCCTCTGTAAATATTGAAATTTTTGAGACACGCTCTCTTAAAACTTTAATTCTGGCATTGGCTATACTAAATAAAATTTACTATTTATTAATTTATTATTCTTTTATAATTCTTTAATCTCTTTAAATTTATTTTATTAAAAATTATTTTTATATTTATCAATTATAACAGTTTGTCAAAAATATTAGACAGACAGACATTTATTTTTTATTGATTCCTTTGTCCTTTTATTTTTTTATTTTTAGAATTTTTATCCATTTTTATCCATTTAAATAATATAATATTAGAGTTAAAGTTTTTTTAATTAAATAGGGAAATATAAAACTTTTAGAAATTATACAGTGCTTCACATAATCTTAACCTCCCAATAAATTTTCGCTTTTTCGACTACTTACCGCATCAATCTGACTGATTTTAAATTTCTATTAATTAAAACATGTCACACTATAAACCCGACAAAACGAAAAAATTGAAAATTTTTTTTCAGTTTTTTAAAAAATAACCTCAACATAATTATAACTTTACCTACAAAAATCATATTAGGAATGCTTGAAAATTTTGCCAAAAAATTCGTCAAACATTTCCGTTAATATTTAGGAGAGGATAAATGATTTTTTATCGAAATCTGATATCACATTTTTAAATATATTAAAGGGCATGTAAGGTGATTATTAGGTTCTCGATATTGCCCAAAAACTTTTTTTTTGAAATATTTTTTTTGAAAAATTTCTGAAATATTGTTTTTGCTGATTAATATATAAATTAAAAATTTATTTTATTCAGTTTATTTAATTAAATTAAAGTTTATTTAAATTAATATTAAATTAAAAATAAAGAATTGATGGACAATAATTTTTTAAATAAAAATAAAATTAAATTATTAATTTCTATTATTATAATATTTTCGGTTAATATAAAAAATTGTGATTGCTGTTGTAAATTTCGTGGTGAAATAACACCATCATTACATGAAGAAACTAAATTAGCTATTAAGTTTGTCAAAAAAAATAATTTGAAAATTATAATTAATTTTTAGATGGCATGTTAATTTAGAATGTGAAGAGTGTATTAAAGGAGGTAAATATCACCAAAAAACAGTTATAGATTCAAAAAATGGAAGGGGAGCTCGTTTTGAATTTGATTTGATTCCGGCAAGAGGAAAATATATAAAAAAGATTAACGTAAAAATTTCTTCCTTAGAAAGACTTTTTGGGCTTGAACGTGTAAGTTATTTTACCTGTTAAAAATACATGAACTTTAAAAGTTTAAAAATAAAAAAGGAATTTAAATTAGACATGATGAAATTGGGAATGTTGTTTTTATAACTAATTTTGAAATATTTAAAAGCTTTTAATGTTTTAAATGTTAATAAACAATTAATAGTGTGTTTAAGAAACAGTAAATATAAATTAAAAAATTTTTCCTTAGAAAATTCTTCCTTTTTACTGAATTTCTTCCCTTTGATTTTACGTGAATAAAATTGAAAGAATTATTATTTCCCGGAATTGAGAAATGCTTTTCGATATAGCTTTGTAAATTTCAAATTTAAAAATTTCTTCAAATTTAAATAAAATATAAATTATTAATTTTTGGATTTAATTTATTTATTTTAGACAAATACTTGGATATTAAAAAATCCAAATTGTGAACGGTTACATCGTTTCCAATTTGGACATTTTTCGCCTTTAAATGATAAAAGTCTTTATTTACGATTTAAATTTAAAAATTCATTGGATGATAAACTTTTAGTTAAACTTGAAGAGAACGATTTAAAAATGCATTATATTGTTAATATTGTGAAGGCAAATGACAGAAAATTTATTTTGGCTAATAGAGAACTTTCTGAAGATGAATGGAAAGGTGGAAAAAATATAGATGTTGATTTGGAGAAAATTAAAGTTATATCTTATATCAGAACTTCAAAACATTATCCAATGGTTATAAGTGTTAAAGCTGTTGGTTTTTTTTAATTATTTTGAAAGAAAAAATTTTATTAGTTTAATGTTTGGGAGAAATAAATTAAATATTATTAATAGAATAAAAATATAAAACTTGTATGATTAATGAGTTTTGACTTTAGTAATTAATTTAGTGAAATTATTAAGACAAAAACTTTGAAGAAATTAGAGACTAAGGTCCTCAAGACTTTTATTTAGTCGATATTAAATTATTGGTAAGATCTGTGAACTAAGCAATAATAAATTTAGTAAATTTAATTAATAAATTGGAATAATATTTTAAAGGTACCAACAATATCTTGTGCTATTTGTAGTTTGAGAAAGAAAACAAAATTAAAAACAAATGTACAGAAATTACACATGATTCCGGGTTGTAATGTAAATACTAATATTTTTTATTAGTATCTTTTAAATTTTATTTTTCAGCATTTTGTTCATAAAAAATGTGCAAATAAAAGGTTATTAATTTTATAAAATTTTCTTAATTTTATTTTTAAGAATTCGGAAAAATGCTTCACTTCATTACTATAGAAAGAAACGTCAGGCTTTAGAATCTGTTAAGGAAGATGAAGGTGAAGGTAAAGAAAGTCCTTCTGCTCCTCAAACTAATGCAGATAAAAATGAAGAAGAAGGAGATCCCCTTCCACCCCCACCCCTTCCATCAACACCTCCACATCATCTTCCTTCTTGTTCATCCTCTTCTTCACTTTCTACCTGTTCTCATGGATCTCCAACAACGCAGCTAGAAGTAGCTTCTTCTTCTTCCCATTTACCTCCTCAAGAAACAAATACAGATAATGTAAATATAATAAAAACTAATTTTGAAGATAAATGTCCGGTGATGGATTGTAATAAAGTTGTTTTTATGAAAAAGAAATCTTCTGGAAAGTAATTATTTTATTATTAGAATATAAAATAGATATTATTATTAGACTGACATGAGCACAAACTCTAAAATCCGGTTTCTATTCCCGGAAAAATAATTTTTATCATATTTATCTATATAAATAGGCAATAAAAATTATTTTTGAATTAATTTTAATTTTTAGAGAATCTATCATTTTCAACAAAAATAATAAATTGAGAGAAAAAAAAGTTTTTGAAGCACATTTAGTTATGCCTATTTTGCAGGTGTTTTTCTATGTTTTTAAATAAAAATTAAATTTATATTTAAAATTAAAGAACGGTCAAAGTCCCGAATATACTTATTTATTTGAACCGAAACGACCAACATTTCTTAAAAAAGTAAAATCTATATTTAAAAATATTAATCACAATCAAGTTGATGAAGATGAAATTGAAGAAGAAATTGTAAATAATGAAGCTGAGGAATTACGGTTGGATGGGAGAAGTTTTAGAGAAGGATTTGGTAGTAGGAGAATTGAAGGAGTTCCTGTAGTAGATGAAAGTACACAAACTGGTTATTTTAATAAATATTATAAAAATAAATTTATTATTATTTTGTTATTTTGAGTAGCGACTAAGTTTTGTAATAATTAATATTCCATGATAATATTGTCACATTATGGATATATGTCACAATTTATATCAGTATTTTTTTTCAAAAAAATTCAAAATTTCTGGGATCTGCTTGGACAAATAAATATGGGGGATGTTCATAAAGTGGCATTTATAAGCACCTTTTCTAGTCGCCGACCTAACTTATTTTCCATCTTAATATTTTTAATAGATCCGGAAATATCTGAACAAACAACAGGAAATGTACAGGGTGAGGGGTCTAAAGGAGTGGAAGAATCTGTTGAAAATCCAGAAAATAAGGGTCCAGATTCACAAATAAATACTGAAAATCAAGAAAATAATGAAACTGTAAATAAAGGAGAAGAATCGAGTAAAAAAGGAAAAGAAACAATTGAACAAATACCAGAAAAGGGTGAATGTTCAACGAGTACTCATTTAGATAATAAACCGGAAACAATTAATGTCTCTTATGAAAAATCAACAAGTTCGGAAAGTAGTTCGTCAAGTAGTTCGGAAAGTGAATATGTTATTTATAAAAATGAAAAACTTAAAATTCATCGAGAAAAAAGTAAAATTAGTATATAATTTGTTTTAAAAACTGGCAAACAGATAATTAGGAATACATAATCATTTAATTCTGATTTTCCAAATTTAGAATTTTTTAATCTTATTCGGTATTTAATAGTACACTTGTTTTTGCCTACTCTTCGAAGAGCTCCACTTTTCCAAGTAATATTCCTCCTACTACAAATTTAATTAATTAACTTATTTTTAATTTTCTGCTAATTTGTTTAGAAAAAAAGCATTCATCACCTAAACATTCTAATAATGCTTTACATCTACACCAACCTTCTAATCAATTCCAACCACAAACTCCTCATTATCCTTATCGTAATTATTTAATTATTTAAATTTTTTACAAAATACTTAATTTAAGATTATCGTGTAAGTGATGAAACTGTAATTGCTGAATTTTATGATGAATTTTTCCGAAAGTATGGATGGGGGAATTATGAAGATAATACTAAGAATTATTAAATAAGTGTTTTTTAATTAAGTAAAAATATTTTGTAAATTTATGAAAAATAATTAATCTACCTTCTGTATATCCTGCTCTCCTTCAAATAATTACCCCACTTTTATTAATTACCCCATCCAGTGATAGATTGAAACAATAATTACCCCCAAACCCCCAAGCAAATGCCCTAAAACTCGTTGAAATTTCAAACCTTATAAAGTTACCCTCCCTCGATTTATTACTCCCTCCAGCGGAAGGTTGAAACAATAATTACCCAGGGTAGTTATTAAAGGATATGCGGTAATGAGCCCCCCTTGTGCTAACCGGATTAAATAATTATTAAAATTCAACTAAATGTTTTCAGACTTCGAATTATATTTCTTAAGATCCTAAGAGAGTTGCCTATTTTCTGGAAAAAAATCAGAATCCTAGCATTAAATTGTAAAGATAAAATACTAATACTCTCAACCTAAGTATAACGAATTTTTAAAAATTTTTGTCTAATTTCTCAATTAATTTATTTTACTTCTTTAAAAGTTTTTTGATCTTTCTATATTTAAAATTAAATTTTTTTTCTTTCTTTCATCTGTTGCCTATTTAAAAATTAAACAATAAAACGTTGCATTTCTTTTTTAAATTTCCTTTTGTTTAATTTTAATCAATTATAATTTTATGTTTTGTATTTTAAATTAAAAGTAGTTCAATTTAAAATTAAATTAAAATTTAACTAAACTATTTTTGAACTTTTTTTTTAATTTTAAATTATTTTTCTAAAATTAGAAACAGTCGAGAGTCCAGTCTTCCTTTTCGCATTTTCTCTCTTTACTTCCTTTCCTTTCCTCTCCCCCTCCCCCCTCCCCTTCCTTTAACACCAATCACTCGGAAAGTGATTTTTAGGCGCCGATATCTTTTGCTACAAAACTATCAGAATTGAAACAAAAATATAGACATAATCCACGATTTTATTTCAAAAAAATTAGTTGAATATACTCGCAGTCTATCTCTAAAATCCTCAATTCGAAGGCCAAATTCGTCCTCCGAAATTACACATTTAATGATTTCTCACTCCTTACCTTATTTCTGCGCCTAAAAATGAATTAGTAACTTCTAATTCCCCTTTTCATCCTTCCAACTTCTTCCTTCCCTTCTTTCATAATCAATTCACGTGTATTTAATCATTCCCCTTTTTCCTACAAAACCAAAAAATTTGGACTATTTCTGTTCTTTTGCATTTTAACAGAAATTTTTATATCCAAAATTAACATCTGATCTTTTCACTTTTTTTTCATTTCCCAAAAATTTGATTGATCGAGTTAATTAAAGTTTAAAAAGGAACAAAAAAAGGTAAAAAGAACGTGTGTTCTTTACACGCGCCTTTTAATCCCGTGCAGGTTCTGTGAAATGATGCCAAAAATGTCTGTCTTTGGTCAACCGAGTGGAATGTGTAAAAAAAGGTAAGTAAATTATTTTAATATATATAAATTAAAAAAAAATTAAATTACTATAATCATTCAAAATTATTTTCAACACAAAAAAAATTAAAATGTTAAAATTTTTTTAAATTTTCTATTTAATTTTTTATTTAGTTTTTTATTTAGAAATTAGTTCCCCTATTTTTAATGTAAAAAATATATTTCTAATTTTTAACATATAAAATATTATTTGTTTTGAATATTTTATTAATAAATATTTTAGTAAAATAATCCCAAATATATTTAATGCTACACAAGTTTTTTTCAAAATTTTTTTTCCATTTTTATTTTAGTTCCGGAATTAAAATTTGGGCAATTATTAAGTTGTTTTTGTTTATTTATTCAAAAAAATGTCTGTCCACATTTTTAAAAAAAATATAGCTAATAAATAAATTTTTTTAATATAAAACTAATACAATTTTTATATATAAAATATTTATTTCAAAAAAAATTTAATTATAAAAAATAATAATTTTAAGTTATTCACAACAAAAATATTTGCTCTCAAAAATATTTTTTAAAAACAAATTTATTTTTTTATTCAACAAAAAATGCCAAAAACAACAAATTTTCTTTCAATTATTTTTATTTTATTTAATTTTATTTTTACTCCAATATTGCCCTTTAAATATCCAGAATTAATTGAATCTTTAAATAAAAAATTAGAGCCTTGTAATGATTTTTATAAATATGTTTGTGATGGATTTGATAGGAAAAATATACCACGGTAAAAGAAAATTAATTTTAAAAATTGTTAACTATACCTCCACCCTGATTTTTCGTGTTTAGGCATGATTTTAAAGCCCAACTTAACTGAAACTATTATAAAATGATATATTATCTATATTCCATATTACTCAGAAAAAAAATTTTTAATTAATGACAAATTGAAAATATTTTTAAAATTTTTTTGGAAAAATAGGTGCTTCAAAATAGGTGCTTCATAGGTGCTTCATTTTTCCAAAAAATAGGTGCTTTTTGGAAAAATAGGTGCTTCATAAGAAAAATAGGTGCTTCATAAAAATAGGTGCTTCATAAAATAGGTGCTTCATAAAAATAGGTGCTTCATAAGTGCTTCACCTTCATAAAAATAGGTGCTCCATAACTATAACTCCACTTAAAGAAAATTGCTTCAAAACATTAGGAAAAATCTATAAAAATTTCAGCAAACATATATTTTGATCTCGTGAAAACTCGAAAAATCAGGGCGGAGTTATAGTTATGAAGCAGAGTCTAATAATAAGAGAAATTTTTGTTAATTTTAATTACCGGTTAGGGAAACTTTTAGAATTTTAATTTATAGTTTATCAATAATTTTAATTAAAATATTATAAAAAATTTATTTATCTTTTCAGTACTGATTGTTCAGAAATCAGTACAACAGCCTCTAGACGGCAACAAACACAAAAAATATTGGAAGGTTTTAAAATAAATAAATTATTCAAAAATTAATTTTAAAAAAATTAAAGATTTACTTGCCAACCCTCCATCTTCAGTCCCCAATTTACCTCAAAATTTAATTCAAAAACTTTACGGATTCCACAGTGCCTGTATTCAATCATCAAATAAATTAACTCAAAGCAGCGATGTTATTCTTTCAAAATTAAATATTTTAACACAAAAAGGAAATAATAACAAAAGAATTTTCGATACTGATTGGGCTTTGAAAGCTTTCCCAATTAATGTTTTCTTTCAATTAACACCTTTATTTAATACAAATAAACCTAGAACTAATTTAATGAGAAAATCATTAGGTAAAAAAATAAATAATGTTGAAAAATAAATTTTATTTTAAAGGTGTCCAACCAAAATCATTAATTTCAAATTATAGAGAAAGAAATATAAATAAAGTAATAATAATTTTAATTAAAAATAAAATAATTAAAATAATTATTCTTTTAATAATAATTATTATTCTAAATAATTATTCTTTAATAATTAGGGAGTGGCAAAACATGCAAATGCATATTTTGTATGCGGATATGCCATGATCTGAAACGCTCAAAAATGGTGTTTTTACGTCGGTACGAACATTAGGGACCGGGTTCCTATAGCATATTTTTGCATATTTCGGTACTTTTGTGCATATTTGCATATCGAGGCATATTTTGGGAAATTTTGCATATTTTTACCTAAATTTGTGCATATTTTGGAATTTTTTTAAAAATTTTAGTAAAAATCGGGCAAATTTTTCAAAATTTTGGAATTTTTTAAGCAAAAAATTTTTTGATAAAAATTTGTTGGAAAAATTTTTTAGAAAAATTTTTCGGGAAAAATTTCTTTCAAAAAAATTTTTTTGGTTGAATTTTAAGTTAATAAAATCTTCTAAAAGTGCTTTTAAACTCCAATTTTAATGCTAAATTTGTATTTTTAACATGAAATATTGATTTTTAAAGCACATTTTCATTATTTTTGCTGCATATTTAGTGCATATTTCGGCAAATTTGGCATATTTTGGTGCATATTTATGGTTTTTTCGGTGCATATATATGCGCATATTTTGGGATTTTCCGTGCATATTTTGCCACTCCCTATTAATAATAATTAAAATAATTATTTTTATAATAATAATAATTTAATAATAATAATAATAATTTTAATTAAAAAGAAAAATAATTATTTTCCTTTAATTTTAAAGAGAGAAGAATTATTAGCTACTCGTTATGGAATGATTATCCAAAATTTATTGGAAGATGATGTTTGGTATTCATTAAAACAAAAAATTCAACCCGTCTTGTTACCCTCGAATAATTTATTTAAAGTAACTCTGAAATTACCTGAAATTTTTATAAAATCCAAAAATTTAAGGGAGAAATAATTCCAAATTGTAATGGTACTCAAGTTAAAGAATTAATTCTTTCCGAGGCTGAAAGGCGTGTGAGAAATTTATTTAAAGTTGAAAATAAATTGGCAAAACAATTAGGTTAGAGATAATTAAAGGAAATAATTTAAATCTTTATTATTAGATTTTAATTCAATATACGATAGCGGCCCTTCTGGCTCCAAAAATTATTTAAAACTTTCCCAACTCGATACACCCAATGCTTTTATTTCGGCATTTAATTGGACCAAATTTGTTCAAAATCTTCTTTCGCCTGTTGGACTTGTTGTAGATTCTCAAACAGAAATTCATTTATCAGACCCTTCATTTCTTCAAAGGATGGGGAAAATAATTGGAGAATTTAGTGAACAAGAAATCTCTGATTATTTGGACTGGAATACTTTGTGGACTTTTATGCCACAAATGGATAAAAGATATACGTTACATTATGTTAATTCTAAACCTCCAAAAGGTAGTTGAAAATTAAAATTTTTGAAAATTAAAAGTTAGTAGAATAATTCTCTTGATGAAGAGAATTTAAGTTAAATATTAGGGGTAGTGCTGATATGGCTCCAAACCGGGAGCTGGAGCCGGTGCTAAGATTTTAAAAACCCGGAGCTCAGAGTCGGACCAAGATTTTTAAAGCTCGAAGCCGGAGCCAACAGATGCCAAATACTCAGCACTGATTAGGGGAAAATAAATAAAAAGAAAAGGAAATATGTATAAAATTTTAAAAAATATTATTATTAGTTGAAGAAGAAGTTCCAGCATCCCCAATTTATAAAAGATGTGCAATGACAAAAAGTTGGATGACAACAAACGAAAAATGTGAAAAATTTATTGAATGGTACTTTCCACAAATATTTGACAGATTATATTTGTCTAAACATCTTGAAAGTGGAGTACGGACAGAAATTGGGAAAATATATTCGAGTGTTTATTCGGAATTTAAAAGAATGTTGGAAAGTAAGAGAGAAATTTATATTTAAATTTTTGGGAGAGTATGGAAAACCCCTCCAAAAAGTATGGAAGGAAGATTAATTTTTTTTACTAAAAATAAATTTATATTAGGATGATAATAATAAATTCCTTTATTACAAAAATATCTTCCTTAATTTTTAATAAAAATTGTTAATATGTATTTTTAAAGACAATCCTTGGCTCGATACAGTTACTAAAGGAAAAGCCTTAACAAAATTACAAATGTTGCAGGCAAATGCTGTTTATTTTGAGAGAATATTTGATAATAATTATTTGGAAGGAATTTATAGACATTATAATCCACTTAGAACGGATGTGCCTTTTGCAGAAATGGTTCATACCTTTGAGGGTATTTTCTTTAAAAAGAATTTACCAATATTAAAAATTAAAAAATAGGAGCAAGTTTTCTTCGTCAAATGGCAACAAATGATTATTATGATTCTTCTTGGCTAGTTAATGCTTATTATAGTAGAGAAACTAATGCTCTAGTTTCCTTAAATGGATACTTAAACCCTCCAATTTTCAGCAAGGATTTTTTGGCAGTTATGAATTATGCTGGAATTGGGGTAACCCTTGGGCATGAATTAAGTCATGCTTTCGATGATTGGGGGTCTTATTATAATGGTAATGGTCAAATGGAGGATTGGTTAGGCCCCCAAATGAGGGCAATATTTCAAAAAAAGAAGGAATGTTTTGTTAAACAATATGGAAATTCGAAGGTAGATATTTTTGTGTTTATTGGAATCGAAGAGGATGAAATCTAATAGATCAAATAATATTTTAATAATTTTAAATTAATTATTAAATTTATAGGTGCAAATTGACGGTGTTTGGATTAACTTAAACGGAACTTTAACCGTTAACGAAAATATTGCCGATAATGGAGGATTAAATGCTGCCTTTAAAGCATGGCAAGTACTAAAAAGAAGTTCGTCTTCCCTCGATCAAAATATTTTTGGAAAAATTGATGGGCTTGAAGAATTTAATGGAGATCAATTATTCTTTATTCATTATGCCTTTGTAAATATTTTTTACTCAGAAAAATTATTATTTTTTAATTTTTTTAGCGTCAATGCTCTCGGTTGGGTTCAACATGGCTTAGACAAAGAATAATGACAGAACAACATTCTGTAGTGCCTGCTAGAGTAAATATACCTCTCCAAAATTCTCCACATTTTGCTAAAATTTTTGCTTGTCCAAGTGGTTCTCCTATGAATCCGGTAGATAAATGTGCAATTTGGTGAAGAATTTTATTGGAAAGATACTAAAAGAGCAATAATTTATACATAAAAAATGCCATTAATTTTTTAATATTTTTGTATTTATTTTTGTATTATTTTTGTATTTTTAATAAATTTAAATATGTATTGGAATTGTAGCCTCGCCAAAACACACAAACAAAACATAAACCCCCAAAAACAGCAATAACTTTAAGGAGGTCTCAGGTTCAAATCCTGCCCGGTGGCTAAACATTTGCTAAACTCTTTCTATATCCTTATGTTAGTATCTCGTTAAGCGGTTAGGTATTTTCCCCGCAATTAATGACAACCTACTTATAAAAATTATATCACAACAATGTTTGACTCGATTAAATATACTTATCCTTTAAAATAAATCTAGCAAAATATAAAATTTACAAAAAATAAATTAATATGAAAATATTTTTAAAAATAAATAAATCTGTTTTTAAATGATTAGGTATTTGGGTCAAAATTTTGAAGAGAATTTTTGATGGTTTCTTCCCTTCTTTCAAATTTTAGGGAATATACGGTATATTAACTTTTGAGAAAGGTTTTGTTCAGGTCAGGCTGGAAATTTTTTGTGTCCAGTCCTGATGCAGGTTCATAATTCTTGTAGCATTTAGCTTCTAGATTTTGGGAGTAAAAGGAAAATACAAATTTAGAAAATAATAATTATCAATTGAGACGATGGGGTATTTGAATCACAAATATTATAGGAAAAATCACTCATTTTCAACAACTTCAATATCCATTTCTTCCTTTCGAACTTCTCTCAAAATACTTAAATGATATTTCTTTAAATGACTTCTGAGGGCATTTGTTGATTTCATATTTTCTTTAATTATCTTTTTGTATGGACAATAACGACATCCAATTGTTTTTTCTTCAAAATCAAAGAATTTTGCATATTCAATTTTCTAAAATAAAATTAATTTAATTTAGTGTTTTAGAAACATAAACAATAAGAAAGTTTCTCTAAAATTTAATATTTTAGAAAAATAATTTTAAATAATATTTCCCCTTTTATCAATAAATATTAAAGACGAGACTGATATTCAGACAATAGGACTGAGTTCCTTCTCTCCGACAATCAATCGTTTTTTCTTACCAAGTCCCTAGTAAATATCTAAAAAAAATTTTAATTTTAACCTTTTCTTTATTTGGATTATTAGCCAAAAGCGTATAAAGTTTTTTTTCATTTTTATTCCAATTTTTACACCCTTCACAAGAACTTAAAAATAATTTTATTTGTTCTATAGTGATGTTTGCAAACTGAAAATAAATTTTTTTTAATTTCAAAAAAAATTCATTTTTCAATTAAAAACCTTATTTTTAATCATACTGTACATAGACATACTCCGTCCATGTCTAGTATCCATATGTATTTTATATAAAACATCAAAAATTTGTTCGTTATAAAGAAAAAGTCTTTCAGAATCTTTACGTTCTGCCAACATTTCAATTATTTTTTCTTCCCCAAGTTGAACAATTTTATATTTTAAATAAGGTTTTTTGTTTAAATTTGTTGTGGACATTGAAGGAGAAGAATAATTTGTTGTTGAAGAGGAAGAAAATGAGGGGTAAAATTGGGATAAAATAGTATTTTGATTATCTTCTATTATTCCTTCTCCTCCTTCTATTTCACTAATACCATTTCCAAATTGTCTAACATTTTCAATCATTGCCAAATATTTATCTCGAGAAAGTAAAATTTGTTTACGTTTACTTGTCCAATGATTTAAAGTAAGCTCTTTGAGGAAATTAATTCTCCAAGGAGTTATTTCTCTTTCCTAAAATAAGACAAAAATATTATTAAGTAAAAAAAATAATTAAATTCTTAAACTTAAAGGAAGGATAACTTTTAAATAAAAGGAATGAAATTTTTTAGAAACAAAGTCAAGAATGGGATAAAGGTATAAAACATTTCCATGAGAAAAATCATTTTTGTATATTATGTATATCCAAATAAAGATAAGTCTTTGCTGTGAAAGTTTTAAGAAATAAGTTTTTAAACTTGGTGAATCCGAGTCCCAAAACAAGAAAATTTCCAATAGTTATCCGAAGATTTTTTCAAAAATTTAAGAAAACGTGTCAAAAGTGGGGGAACCAGGGGCGGATGCAATGCGTTTTGCGTCCATTTTTGGCCTTTTGTTGCGTTTTTTGGCCCCAGCCCGCAACTGCGGGTTGCTTTTAATTAAAAAAATTTTCTCTTGCCTCTTCTTCACCAATAGGCCAACTTTCTTTTGTATACCCAAAAATTATTTTAACACTATCACTATCATCAAAACTATCATCATTATTCATTTCATTACTTTCTTCCCCTTCATTTTCTTCAATTGAAATATTTCGAAAATCAGTTGGACTTAGACTGTTTTGTAAAACATTTTCATTATTATAAATATTTTTTACATGTCTAAAAATAATTAAAAATAAATTAATTTTTAATTTATTTTTAATAAATAAATTAATACCTATTAATTAATGCTTGTGACATTGTCCCAAATCTAGCAATTAATTCTCTAGAAATTGCTTCATTTAATTTATCCGAATATTCCGAATTAGGCAAAACTAATTGTTTGTGTATATAATATAAATTTGGAATTTCTGAATTTTTTGACGACATAAATAAATGTTTTTTTTCAATTTATGAATAAATGTCTTAAAAAATATTTTTATTAAATTAAATACATAATAATTTGGAAAAAAATAATTTTAAATTCAAAATATTTTCTATAATTTCAGATTTTCTTTTAATTAAAGGTCAAATAAAGAAAAATTTTTAATTTTTGGAATTTTTTAGAATTAAGATTTAAAATTAAGAAATATGTATATAAAAATAATTATAACAATAATAATTATTATTTTTTAAATATTAATAAATATAGAATTGAGGATAAAACAATTTAATTAATTATAATAAATTTTATAAATAATTTCAAAATTCTTCATTAAATTAAAGATAAAATAAGATAAATTTTTAAAAGAGTAAATAAATATATTTAAAAATACTATTTTGTTTGATCTGCTTAATATTAAGGTAAGGGCATCTATTAACTAATATTTAAAATTAATGAAATTTAAGAATAAAAGCTTTGAAAATGTACCTTTTTTGCCTCTCTCCCTGCTCCTTTCCCTCTCTCCCTCCCTCCTTTCCTTCTCCCTCCCTCCTTGCCCTCTCCCTCCCTCCTTGCCCCTCTCTCCCTCCCTCCTTTCCTTCTCCCTCCCTCCTTGCCCCTCTCTTTCACCTCTCCCATTTGCCTCTATTAACTTTTTGCCAAGATAGACGAGGAATAAGCGCGACGCAAATGCTTGATAAACCTTATTGCTTTAATGAATAAATTGATTGATTTAACTAGGGTAAGAATTTAATATTGTTTAAAATTTATAAAAATTGTTTTAAATTATTTGTTAATTAAAATTGTTTTTTAAACTTAATTGTGTCCGCACTTGCAGTAGGAACATAAATGAAAATAAATGACCTATCCCCGGGTTGGATGGTGGCACAGTCGGTTGTGCTTCGGTTTGGGCCTTTTCCATGATGGTTCTATTCCATCTACCATACAATGCATTTTTCCACAGCACGAACATTATAAACTTGGTAAAAAACATCTTATAAATGATATTGCTGGTTTAAAAGTTACAGAAGCTGACAATAATTATAATTTTTTAATTTATCTCCTATCTTTTAATAAATATTTTATTCCTTCAAAATAAAATATTACAATAAACATCTAAGCCTTAATATGGCAAATAAGTTCAAATAAATCTAAATTTGAAAATGCCGTATTTTCTCGATTAATTCCCCTCACTCGATTAATTCCCCCTGCCAGAGAAGGATTGAAATAATGATTCCCCACCCCCAAATACCCTACTGTACGTTCAAATGGCAAAACTCGAATAATTCCCCATCCCACAGATGGGTTGAAATATCAATTCCCCAGGGGAATTAATCGAGAGAATACTCTTACAAGATTTATTGTCCTAAATTTATTTTGTTTTGAATACTGTTAGAATAAAAACATGATATTAATGTATGTATTAGTATTTTCAATCGAAAGCAAACTTTGTTTATTTTTGCTATTATTATTAAACATTTATTAAGAAATTTTAAAATTTAAAATAATAAATCAGTAAACATATTTATTAAAAATTATTACCTAATAAATAATATAATTATTTAACTCCTTATGTTGATTGAAAATTAAAGACATATATTTAATAAATGTATATAATATATATGTAGTAAGGCATAATTTATAGTTGTAAGAGATTCGTAAAGATAGGTGCCTCCCCATCCCTCCCTTCCCTTCCCTTCATCTCTTTCTCTCTCTCTCTATTCCCCAATATAGGCAAGAATATAAGCAATGGATCAATTAATCAGATTCATCTAAATAAATAAACTTGATCAATTGATTATTCAATGTCTAAAATTTAAAGATTTAAATTAAAATATATATATATTTAATTAATGAAAGAATAAAATCCGTAGAAAAAAGTTACACACATAAAAGTTTGTCAGTAATGTACATACATATCAGTAATATAATGTGTAATTAATGTTCAAGACCCTTAGTCATGATTAGATCAAGAGAAGGAATGTAGAATATTAGAGAGCAAATCGTCTAAAATTCTGAAGAATCAAAAATTCTGGTGATTTATGAATCAAAAAACATAAAAAATTTTGATTTTTTTTTGGATATTTCATAATTATGAATAATCAAGAGGTGTTAGTTGGAGTTACGATTTCAAAATAGGGCCAGGGTAAGAGTACAAGCGAAAATATGTAATTATTTTAAGTACGAGGCCAAAATTAGAGGTGCTACAAAGCACGAGTTTCAGGCACTGGCTTCACAAAGGCCAAGAAGCCAAATTTATTTTTTAGCACCGCAATTGGAAATTTTGTCTGTGGGAGGAGGGCAAATCTTAATACCCAATTTATCAAGAAAACAGATAACATTTTGCTTTTCATCATTAGTTAGTGCAGAGAGTAAGGGTTGAGTAATGAGAGGCCTTTGGAATTTAAATCTTTGGATCAAGGTTTAATTGGCAGGTCCATCCAAAAACATCCATCCAGACTTCCAGTCTTATTGCGGGAAGTTCGCACGAGAATTCCTTTTGTTGGATTTTATTATTAATTTTAGCGTGATTTCGATGTATTGTGGGAAATCAAAGAGGAGACAAACATCAAAATGCTTCATAAAAACAAAATTTATCGGCGGTAGTTGACAATAAAAGACGATTCCTTTTCCCTAGTCTCAAGACCATATTTTAAGCCATATTTCAACGATATAAATAATTATTATGAAGCTCTGGATGCGATTATCTTAGCTACAGGATTGCTTTCATCAGATACTAATTATTTAAATGGTTAGGATCAATGTTATGAACGATTCGAGGCTGAATCAGTGAAATTGAACTGATATTGATATGTTATGGTGGTGTTACTATAAAAGCCTCACATAATTGTTAGTCCGTATCTCCTAATTGCTTATCCTAAATACCCCAACCTTATTCTATTTCAATAACTACATAGGTATATTGTATTTCTATTGTGTAATAAACACATTATTGTATTGCTTCTTTATTGTTGTACAAGGATACAACAAAAGATTTGATTTGCTAAGTTAGTAAAAATCCTGTTTTGAAAAATTTTAAACTTTTTCGGTAAATGTCTACGTCTTGATTAAATCAATAGTGAAGAAACGACCAAATTTTACCAAATTTCACATACATTTAACAAAATTCGTACAATTAACACACTAGCATTTTGTACGATGTATGAGCAAAAATGTGACAAAGTACGAGGCAAAAAATAGTGTAGCTATTTTATAGGTCGGTCAGAAAAATCGGTTCCAATTGAAGTTTTTAAGACCAAGAGTTTTAAAAAATTTGAAGGCCAAAGTTTTTTGACTAAATGGGTCCAAGTTTCTGCTAAAATTCTGATCAATCCTTTATCACTATATATGACATTTTTAACGTTAATTTATTTGGTCCACCCAAGATACCGGGGAATCAAGATTCCCTTAATTCCTCTTTATCTCATTTAATCCCTCCAAACCCACCGAAGGGACATTACGTCTTCAGGGTGTAAGTCTACGTAGTGTAGGTCTTCAGGGGTGGACTCGTCCTAATTGAGGAGAAAACATTCAAAAAATAAATAAATATTTAACAATATTTTTAATTAAAAAACAAAAAAATTTCTTTTCAGAGTTTTCCACCAATTGCCTGTAATTTTTTATATTCCGATTCTTGTACTTCTAAAGATTGCAAAATCCTTTTAGTTTTTTCATCTCTTTCTTTTCTTATTTGTCTCCTTTTCTCAATAAAAAGTCTTTAAAAATTAATTAAAATTAAAAAAAATGATTTTTCCCTTACTTTGCAGAATTTTTAGCTTCTTTCCTTAAATATTTAATTGTATTTCTTCTTTCATCTTTTGCTCTTTTTGCCCATTTCTTTTCCCTTTCTTTGGCAATTTTTGACTGAACGGCTTTTTTAGCTTTTTCTTCTTTTTCTAATTGTTCTGAATTTTCCAAAGTTTTCTTCTCTTTTCTTTAAAGAAAAAAATTAAAAAAAAAATTTTTTAGGCAAATTAACCCAAAAATTAATTAAATAAATGACTGAAAATATTTAAAGAAAACAATTCCCCCAATCTTTTAAATTCCATCTTTCACTCACCTACAAG